ATTTACAATATTTATATTAGAGCATTTACACTTATGGAATATTGCCAAGTCTTTTGTAATCAATTTTTTCAAGAGTACTAATGGTTTTAATTGTTCAGCAAATATACGCATTTCATCTCCAATCGCGTCCTGTCCATTTGGCGCTAATACCGATAGTTCCACCAAATAGCTGTTACACACTGGTTCACTGTCATTCTGTTTTCCAGGAATAATTTTAAATATTTTCGCCACCGTAATTTTCATTCGGCCTTTGCGAAACAAGAATCCTTGCTAACGTACTCAAAATCTACTCTGCAACCCAATTCAGTTAGGAATTCAAGAACGGTTGATGTGCATCCAACATCGATGCTGGATCGTACCAAGTTGGCCTAGATCGATCTAGTTCGGTTGTCCGATATATCTGAGTTGAAATGGCAAATCCCGAGTGCCCAGTGCTCGGCGAACACGTACTTGTAAGGGAACCTGATTCGGCTGCCTCATGCTCATACATACTTCCAATCATGAAATGTCTCGGGTACATTTTCCACGTTATCGCACAATCCACGAAGCTGCAATAAAAATATCTGAGTTTTTTCTGGCAAATGCTTTTGCACGTCCTCAATACCGGTGAATTAAGTTCAACAGCAGATGCAATAATAGATCCCTGGAGTAAGTACTCCTGGTTGGCCTGACTGACCGATTCTTTTGATGATGCGACCTGGGCCATGCTCATTGAATTCATCTTAAATTTATATTCATTTAGCAGGACACACAATATAAATATATATACTTTAATATATTCAAAGATGAAACAATTCACTTCCCAAGCCAGTACCAGATTAACAAGGAAACTCGACTGGATTACAAAGCCACAAAGCTCCCATTGACCGCCGTAGTAATGAGAAACAACGACCAAAGCGGATATGCGTAATAAAGATCGAAATCAAAATAAAAACGATTGCCTTCTATAGGGATCCGGAGATCGAATGTGTTCTTTTACAGGGTTGTGTAAGACGAATTTTCTCCAACAAAATATACTTATGTGATGTTCACTGAATGATCAAAGGAACTTCAACAGCCAACTGTTACTACACTCGACTAAAATTGTTACATTCTTGCAATTCTAAAACAGACCATGAATGTTGTAAATAATACTGTAAATGTGCCTAGACACACTATAAGAATATTTTCAAACTTGGTCTGTAGGGCACGTACAAAATTGAATGAGAAATTTTCTAGTCGATTGCATTTAAAAATATTATTTTCTGTTCAGACTTGTAAATAATTTAAACAAATTTAACCACATTGTAAAATTAAGAAGGTAAAGTCATTTCAAATAAGCATTCCCATCTTTGAATTTTCTGTAATTTAGCTTGTCAAATTTCACTGTATGGAAAGCAGGTTCTAATCTCTGATTTGTGTACGTACATTGGATTTATAAATACACATTTTGACAATGAGATGTTGTCAAATGAATAATTTTAAAAAATTAAAAACATATGATTGATTATATTGTGGGTACATAAGCAGCTTGGCATCATGGCTAGGCATATCAATGTTAAATTGCAATGAAAAACGACGACAGGATTTCAGTACGGATCTGACATAACATATTTATAATATGTCACAAAATATGCTTTAATCCATCTGCACTTTTTGATGAAATAACAGAGGAATGTAGAAAGCCTGGTTTAAATTATTAACCGAATTTAAACAAGGTCATTCTAAATGCATATCTTGTGACATTTCATAGGGTATTACAGAGCCGCACTAAAATCCTGCCATCGTTTTCCATTGTAATTTTACATTAATATGCCCAGCCATGACTTCAAGCTTTTTATGTACTTGTACCTTAAACTCTTTTGCTCCAAACATGCTACAATAATGACGTAAAACCGCTTGCTATGCATGCTTCCTGTCAGAATTATTCAAAATTATACGCAACAAGTTATTGCCATTTTTTTGATATTTTTCCTTATTTCAATTTGAATGAAATGCATCGTTTGCTTTCAAAAATATTATCCAAACTGTTCAATCTTTCAATTTCATGGCAAAACTGGTACAATGAAATAAAGGTACTTCATTTCAAATTAGAACTCCTGTAATTTTCCTTGTCAAATTTCATTGCATAAAAAACAGTTCCCATCGCTGATTTTGTGTGTATATAATGGATTTATGAATATAGATTTAGACAATAAGACGCATGCATTGTACAATACTTTAAACTCCAGAAGTACACCCCGAGGCTATGCCCGCTCCTGTCAGACTCATTCAAATTATATGCAACATTTAATTGTCATATTTTTCTCATTTTAAAATGAGTTAAATAGCGTGAAAAATGAAAATGCCTGGACTTTCACTTAAAATGATCCAAACTGTTTAATCTTTCAATTTCATGGCTAATAGCTTTAATGCGCAAGCCGCAATCTACGTGTCTTCCAATCATTTGTTTTGAAAATATTTTGTTTTCATATTTCAAACAGTAAATCCATGGTACAATAAGGAGGTAGAACAGCTTCGTAAACTACAGAAATACAGCCTTGAGGCTACGCCCGCTTCCTGTCAGAATTATTCATAATTATATCCAACAAGTTGTTTTCATTTATTTGATATTTTTTGTTCATTTTTAAAATGAGTCAAATAGCGTGAAAGATGAATGAAATGACTGGACGTTCTCATCAAAAAATATGATCCTTGACCCGTTCTTATATCTTCCCTTTATAGTCCACTTTTTTTATTCCTTACTTTAGGAAAAGTGAAGGATAAAAGTTAACTTTATCGGTTTCTCATTATTACATCTTTCCTTTAAAGTATATGCATTTCTTACAGAGATATGGCAAGCTTTTTGTAAAAGTAACTGGTAGTCACAACATTTTTTTCACAATGGCATCTTCATTTTTGGTTGAAAATAAACAAAACGAATTTGTAGTTAATTTCGATAAATAAATTATAATTCAGTTCTTCAATATAAAATAAATGATTTGCGTTATCCATTTCTTTATTTAATATATTTTGCTGCTATTGTCATATTATCAATATAAATATGGCAACATGAAGAATCTACAAGTTTTGCAATTTTATTCGATATCATAAACGGAAAACCGGTTATCGTAGTAAAAACTTTTACATTCTTGCAGATCTGGAACAGACCAAACTTATATAAAGGAGAATTAACATTCCTCATAATCCTGTAATGACTCAAAGCAGGCGATATTCAACATATCTGACAAAGGCCAGCCCAAGGAACTTAATAACATTAACAATCACTACGGCGCAACCCAAACACATATCTAACAATAGTGTTAACAAGTTTGCGTACACACATGGCAAGCATTCGCCCAGAGGTGGCCTCCAAATATTCATAAAGATCTGGCTATTATCATCCTAACACTAAGAGGCAAATTAGCTTGAAGACAGCAAGGAATCAACATGCGCTGAAAATCAGGCTTGGTGTCAATGACTACACCTTTACATTACACATTACTTTTTGTAATGAAATTTTTACAAATAATACAAATAAATTGGATCAGCTGTTATTTTACAATAACTTACTGAGTAAATGC